GTCTATATCGTGTCGGGTTTTTGTTGGAGGCAATATTTCCTAGAGGAAAATGAAGTTTTTTGGTGTGTCGTTGTGATGTCTTTACACGTGTCGGTCTCGGTGTCAGTTGGTGGTGGTCGTTTGAGTCTCTTGAGATGTCCTATCCACGCTAAAACCATGAAATTGCTGCTATAGCACACACATGGATCGGCCCATGAGCTCTCACTCGCTTGGTCAGAGGGAGGGTGTCGCAACTGCAACTGTCACAACACTCACGCAATTGATGCAATCAAATTAGTTTTACTCAAACATTCAGATTGTTACATGGCTCGCTAGTACCAAGCACGAATATAACCCCAGTTATATTCGCAATGATTTTTGTCCAAATACTTGGTGCACTTTTTTGATATGTGACATTTTTCAAAAATACATGGTGAACATGTTTCATGCGATAAACATTCTTACGTACATACATATTTTTTTTTAATTTTCACAGTTTTTTTATTTTCGAGCTTTTTAACATTTTCTTTTTTAGGCAATTCATTTGAAATTTTTTAATAATGTTTGGCATAAAACAAGGCAGGGCCCAGGCGAAGGCTCCTCCGAGCTATGTTTTCGAGCAAAAAAACTAAAAACAACAACAGAAAAACGCTCCCTAAATAAGGGTAAGGGCCCAGCTGCTTCATGCTTCTATTCGTCAACAACAAACAACGGACAACTTTCGTTATTGTACACTGGCCCATAAAAACACAACAAACAACGAACGGCCCACGAAGAAGTAGCGACAATATAGAACGACCACACCTTTTGTACACAGATGGATGACGTCATGTGAATGAGACCAATTTATATTTCATTCAGATGAGTTTTAGGCACTCCTTTTTTTTGTGCCACGTTCTCACACGGGCATGCAAACAAAGAGAGTAGACATGCAAACATAACATTAGAAAAAAAAATGGTTTTGAAAACTTCCAAAAACTCTTATTTCACCAACCGTTAAACCGATTAACCAAACGTTTTCACTGATGGCTGCTACACTGTGACGAGATTTCTAAACTTAGTCCCATGTTGACATGTTCTTTTCTTTTTGTTGTAACTAATCAATTGTAGGACTTCCATGATACTCCCTCAATCTCATTTCAGTGCTAGATACATACGTTTGAGCGACAATTAATATGGAACAAAGGAGTAGTAGTTTTGCAGCCTCACCTCATCTTTTACTTATTTAGAGTAACATTGTAATACTCACCCTGGCCATTCACAGCGATGCTACTATCCCTAATAAATATTTACTTGGCAATCATACATATTTAGCACAGTAATCATACATTGTTATCGTGGTAAAATTTAGACACTAATAACCACATTACTTCAATATATACCAATAACCACATTACGATAATTTGACAAGTGGGAGGACAACAAAAATCGTCAAAATGTAACATAGACGTTTACCATATTAGTAGCATGGATTAGCCTAGCCTAATGCTAATAAGATTTCCCTTATTTTTAAGCATCAAGGATAAAAAAAAACATCAAGGATCGAGATTATGAACAGAGTTATAATTTTGTACAGATCAAAAGTCACATCGCAATAAACTGAGGACATGAACAAATGTAGAAGCATGCAAGCGCATTGCATTACAGGCTGCAGTATACTATAGTTGGATGCGAACCCGAAAGCAGCGTTGATGAAGATCCAGCCCAAAACAACCATGTTCACTTTCTTCAATATTTCCCTGCAATAATCAACGACAGTGGCGCGGTAGCTATATTAATGAAAGAAGAACATATGATGCAAATGCAGAGAATCAAATGGAAAAATGCATGCATGTTAGGGAAATATGCTGTCCTTAAAAAAAACAGTACTTAAAAGGAAAAAAAACTCCGTCCATAATCCAGACGTGGCTGCAGATGTTGTCATGTGAATGATCCGATCATCGATGAGCGTGCGCGGTTGCGACTGTCATGTGCCCAAATGATCAGATCGATGATTCATAAAGTACAGCTGGCGGCTATAAGTACGGGCATGTGTATAAATAAGAAATATTTTGCACAAACATGCTAATAATTCATAAAGTACAGCTGGGGCTGCTAATATTGATGCTATAATCAGGGCCACCCACTCTTTTTTTTAATTGAATGCACTTCTACATATATTAATCAACCAGCATTCATACAATCATTTTAGCCACTTCCAATGCAAATAAGGGAACCTCACCAATCAACACCCAAGTTTCTATTACTCTTATAACCAGTCACTCTCAATGCCTGGGGTGCTGAATTACCATCTTCGTTATGTGTACCTTACTTTGGTTGTCCTTGCCAGAAGTGAGCAAAGTAGAGTGCGCCGAGCTCAAGCTGCAGGACTAACTCGACATGTACCAAAAACCATTCTCACCATAGGCGATTGAGACGTCGCATGCTTTTGCAGGCATCGAGAAGTCGAAGGTGAGCCTTGCAGGATGACCTCAGAAAGATAATATTAGGGCATCTCCAACACTGACCCGTAAACCAGACACC